GGGCCTCTGCTTCTCCGCATCATAGATCATTACCACCTCTGTGACCACTCCGAATCTATTGAAATAGTCCCTGAGCTCTATTCTGCCAATAGAGCTTCCTAAATGTTACACACTGGACCATTGAGCAAGTATCAGATCAGACGCTCTATTGTATTGGCAGATGGAGATCGGGGGCCAAAAAAACAAACATTATGTTTCACTTTTAACATAAGAAGACAAAAGGCTTTAGGATGGGGGCGGGTTTGGGTGGGGTTTGGGTGAATACGAACAACGTATGCTAGTAAGCTAGCTAACTACTGTAGATAGTGAACTAGTTAGGCAGACATGTTACTGTCCTTACACTTTTTGAACATAAATAAAAGCCACCATCCCAGTGTCGCTCTTACTGACTGCATTCAATGAAGCTACTTTTGTGATACCTCTTGCTGGATCTCTGGGTATAACTTTATATTTCTCCATGAAAAAAAAACACTTTCTGATCTTGCCCCCCCCTCACACCCTCCAGAAGCAGTGACAACGTCCCCACCCACAATTTCAACCAGCAGCCGTTGCAGTGTTGAGTGGGCTGTTATCACAGGGACACATTGGCGCTTTCTCTTTGAAGCTACACTGGTAAACTCTTCACCTGCTCCTCTGTTGTCCTGGGACAAAAATAAAACTCCATTCATTTTTACTCAGTTCACCTGCCACTCAGGGATAAAAATAAAATCACAATCCATTTCCTGCTAAGGCCTGACAGTTGCTTAAATCAAAGAGTGGCTGAGAGCAATGGTGTGTAACGAGGAGGAGACGGGAGGGAGACGGAAAGGATCAAAAAAAGAGGCAGGGAGGGAGTAATAAAAATGAAATGGAGAATAAGAAATGAAGACGGTGGGAGAGGAGAGAGAGAGATGGGAACAGAGCACAAATGGGCAGAAATAAGGAGATAGAAGGAGCAAGAAACAAAAAGAGGGAGTGGCAGAACAGTCTGACATATACATACCATTCGATAAGGCCTGCTGAAGCTCTGAGTCTGATATCACGCCACTCCGGTCCTTGTCGACCCTGGGGAAGGAAACACAGATTAGATAGCGCCTGCGTTAACCACTTCACACACCGCACACAATGGGAGCAGGGCATCAGCACTCGCCAGCTGAAACTTTATCCCCCCGGGCTCGTGTTCGTATTTCAACAGTTCACTGAGAATGAATGGAGTCCTGTGATCAGAACACACAAGGCAGCTTGTATGCTCGCAGCTCCCCTGAGACTGGCCGGACTGAGACTGCGGGAATGTGTGTGCGTTGATCCCGAGACAGCGAAGGGAAAGTGAAGGCTGGCAACCGCACAAGTAACTTGTCGTGCGACCGGCATAGTGTCAGCTTGCAAGGAGCTCAGACAGATTTTTTTGAAGTGATAAGTGAAACCAAAACTAAAAACAGCCTGATGCTTCAGAGAAGAGAAACCTGAAGCTTTACATGAAGCGCCCCACACCCCACTCTCTCTGCATGTCCCGTCTGTATCCTGTTTACTCAAGTCAAGACCAAATGCATCAAAAGCAGCTTCCAACAAATCCACATGAGGAGGAACAGGTCATTAAAAAGTATCAATAATTATTGATAGACTGAAATGAAACATTCACTGTGATAGATTCCCCAACCATTAGACTATAATATCCACAGATATTCAGTTCACAGGGATTTAAAACAGAGACAAGGCACTGAGGTTAATGACATGGCAATGGTTTGGGTGTCCTTTCTTTAAGTGAAGCGTTTATTTTTATTATTTAAAGCTAGAACTGAGAAAAGTGCGCACACATGCTAGGGAGGTGCCAGCTCCTTGGCTGACATCAAAGAAAGAAAGAGAAAGCCACACTTAAGTGTCTAAAGGTAAGAAGATATGAATAGGCTGTCAAGCTATTATGGAAAAATACAGTGTGTCTGTGTCTTGGCTTTATCTTTTCAAAAGGATCTTTAAACACCCCCTGAATGAATAGGTGGAATAATTGCCAACAAGCTCACGGGAAAAAAGTGAGGGGAGATTTCTTTTTTTTTTTACTTTTAGAAAACTTGAAGAACTTTTCTTCTTCTGTTTCGTCAAAGAAGAGCTTAGAAATACTTTAAGGACATGTCATCATCTCCTGGCTAACCTCCAGCAGTTTTAGGTTGTGAAAAAAGCCCATCCTGGTGGTTTGGAATGAGGGAACCCCCCTGCCCAGATAGAAAGCTGTAAGGACATCCTTTTGATTGTCAAAGCACCTCCCTAAACACAAGGCAGCTCAGATATGCTTCCAAAACCCAGCTAAAGAGTCTTTTCTCTAAGATGCAGAGCCATAAAAACAGGCTGGACGGTGACACACATAACGGACCTCACAGTTTGACATGAAGCTTAGTCAAACATCCAGTGACTCAGTTGTTCCTAAGCAACCTGGCCGGCCCAACCTGTCGACACGGAGCCCGCTCCACAAACACAGTCTGAATACCAGCAGAGCAGAAGAGGGAGGGGAGGAGACGGGGAACCCCCCCCCACAGCACCGGCCAAGCGCTGACTATGTGGGCTGGGTTAGCGCTCCCAGCTGTGACGCTCACATGCCCATGTGTGCTGCCTTCGTGGCTCTCCGCACAGCGATCCTCAGCTATATGTCGACGTGCCTTCCCCCCTCCCGCCTAAGTAAAGAAAAATCTTCCCGCTCTCCCTGGGGAGAAAAACCGCTCTCAGCATGCCTCCATAAATGAGAGCTCTGTCAGTGCAGGCGGTGGGGGGACCCAACCTTTACCAAACACTGATAGATTAACTCAAAGAAGTGTGTGTATACAGTCAGGGCCCTCCCCTCCTCCCCTCCTCTCACTAACTCTCACTCACTCAGCCTCAGGTAAAGTTACCTCACCAGACTTTTTTTACGTAAAGCGAGCTGAAAAAAAGGGAGAACATCATTAAAAGTCCCTCGTGCCTGCAGCACTGACGGTTAAGCATCTGGCGTTTTCATCTTCGCCCTGTCGAACACGGAGCTCGTATCTGAAAACAGGCGGACCACAGAAAAACACCACGGCCGAGTCGGTTATTCGGCTCAGATTTTCCCATGTTTCACTGTTTCCCATTGAGCAATCAGGTTGGAATATGGCTTGCGGAATAATGGCCGCCCTACTTTCCACATAAACGCTCCAAAAGTAAGACAAATGTCACTGTGGCTCCCATAGCGGAAAACACAAAGCTCCAAATTAAAGCTGCATTCACAAAACCTCCCAAGGAAATCCTGGTGTCCAACAGCTGCTTTCAGTTGCTCCTTTTTCTATGTAGATGTCTCAACTTTTACCACATGTAAAATGAACTGACTGCTAAAACCTCACTCACTCCTGCTCATTGATTCTACGCGAACCAAACGGCCTCCCCACAAGTTCTACTTTGTTACCGACGAGTTTGAATACGTCGTCTCTTAAAATGCTCGGCACAGTTCAGGGAACATGTTGTTGCACTCGCTTAGCAACAGATCGGCATTGTTGATCTGAATCCAACCCCATGTTGTTTTCAGTCTCGAAGGGTTGGGCGCAAACATTTTTGTCATGCCAACGTTTGTTCTTTAAAAAGGCGGCAAAACAAGAGGGACTCACTACCGTTATTCATTCATTGTCAAGTCAAGGAATTGAATGTGTGTTAAAAAAAAACAGACACAACTGATGGAATCCACGTTGACGACTCGCTGTGTGAAACACCTTGACAATGAGTGACTTCATTTCTTCCCCTGGCGTGATTAGACGGGATAAAGAGAGTTAAGGGTGACTTAAACTGAACGGATTACCGAAGACTGTGCAACAGTGGGACGGTGAGTCATACCGTGTACAAGTCACACACAGATTGAGAGGCCTACCGCCTAAACTATGCTCTACTGACTCTGATCACATGACCGAGGGGATTCCAGCACCGCTCTGCTAGCGGTTCACCAAGAGGCAGCAGATGAGGCGGCACAACGCTCAAGAGAGAGTTCAATGAAAGCCAGATTCCTCGCATTTGTATGACGTCTATCAAGGGATGTACATTAGTCGTGATGGTCATGAGAGGCGCTGGGAATGAGAGACCAGGAATGTGTGAGAGATAAAGACAAAGAAAGACGCATGTGAGCGGAGATTTGTACATCCGGCCTGATTTCTAAAGGGGTTTTGCACCATACATAAATAATTCGTTAAGGGTGTTTCAACCCTTGCAATGCGTGCAGCATCTCAATGTTATGAGAAAGCAAAGCAGCGGGGGGGAAAAAAAATCCTCTGCAGTATTACATAACTCTATAGCTTACTACAACCAGGGGCCAAAGCATATCAACTATGTCCCTCTCTGCCTACTACTGTGACCTTCTTAGCTGCTGACACACTTTTGACTCAGGCTTTTGGTGATATTGATGACTATCAGTGGTTGAAAGCCGCCACTGATCCTGTAACATCAGCTCAGGGCCGAATAATAACAGTTTATGTTGGTTATGGACACTACACCCTGCGACATATGGACTCACTACTGTCTGAATTACTTAGGAAAGCCCATCCTCAGAGATGATCTCTCACTGCTGCCTCGAAGCAGATACAGACCGAGAGATTCATTCATTCAATATTCTCTCACATCTCTGGTTTTTAAATGAAAACGATCCTGAATTGAAATGACTTTATTTTGGTGAGATAACACAGAACCAAAGCCTTCAAGGACTCCTGGAGGTCCTTGGACCCCAGTTTGTAAACTCTTCCTGCTGTGTTAAGACAGTTCACCGGTTGAGTCAGCTGATTGCCTGTGACTTCATTTAAAAGGCCAATTAGACACTTAATAATAACGATAATAATAAAGTGTGTGACACAGCTGGGGTACAGTAATGTAATGCACTGTAATGTGAGTGTTAGTGACGTGTAACAGCTATGTGTTGTGCAGTAGTATTTTCCAGGAAGCTCCACAACTGAGAGCTATACAAATCACTCATTTCACTACCGGGGCACCGCCGTCAGACAAACTAAAGGACACAAGATTAAAGACAAGAACCGGGCTGTCAATGAAACACTAAGTGTGTGAACCTCTCTCTTTCTCTCTTTCTCTCCGCGCCACAAACGACAGCAGTTTCCACTGCGGAGCGGAGTGAGAGACAGGCAGACAGGCAGGCAGACAGACAGACAGACAGACGGAACAACCCCACCGCCTTTCCCCACTCACCTCTGGAAGATATTCCACAGAAAGCCCTGGTCCGGGGGAGCGTTGATGTGCGGGGGGGCTTTGTACGGACTGTGGTACGCCATCTTAAAGGGAATGCTCTGTGAGAATTGAGCAGTAACACCGACGGACTGTGTTTGCTGCGGCCGCTGCGTTAGTTTCTGCTCTGAACGCGGCTTCAATCAGACTCCTCCACCCCGACGGACTGTCACGTTACCGCCCGCCTCCTCCTCGCGCACAGAGGGCGTGGCCAATCATTCACCGCTTCCCATAAGGAGGGTGACGTCACACTTTCCTCTCTCTGAGTGTAGAAGTTGTAATGTTTTTAGGCTAATAAACCTGATTTTAAGATTGGAGAAATTAAGTTACATTTCCTCTTCTCCGAAAAGAAACAACATTTTGAAATAACTGAGAAATAAGTAGCTATGAAATGAACTCTTTAACATAACTTTAAAGATAGTTAAACTACAAATAATTAGTCCATGTTCCAGTCCTGTGTCTAATTATTCATGTATGGAGCACTTTTCTATTAAAACTTTTTATAACATTGAATTAAACTTGAACTGGGATGTAATATTCAATGTAATATTCGCACTTTTTGTAAAGCTGATTTGTAGTAGTGTAGTACTTACTTACTACAGAAGTATTAGCAACACGATGCACTGAAAGTGTTAAAAGTAAAATGTTACTCATAAAGGTTATACTATTGAATCATTATTATTGATGCATTCACATGTAAGCAGTTCTTGGAAGTTGTTATTGTAGCGAATTTCCCAAATGTGGGATCAATAAAGTCTTACCTATATTACTTATCTTGGTTCGTATGGAGCTAATTTTAATTTATTTATTATACTGCTGGGTGATTTTATCTGTAATAATGACTGGAAACTAACTAACTATAGCTGTGATGTGGTTAATGTTGTGAATGTGGCGGAGCAAAAAGTACAATTTACTGTATTTATGTAAGAATGAAGTAGCATAAAATGTAATCACTCACGAAACCCTGGGACTCAAACATCCACTGAACCAGAAAACTATTTATTATTTATTTTTCCATTGTTGAAATTTCTTTTTTAAAAACTCTACCTATGCTGTCATATCCACCTACCTCATATACATAAAGAAACCTGCACATAAATATTTATTTCAGCATCCTTTGCACTATTGTCTACTGTCTACAAATGTTATTGTTTTTGTTTGTTTATATGTACATCTGTCTATTTTGTTGAGCTAGTTGTCCTGTTTATTTATGCTGTTAGTCTGTGTTTGTACATTGAGAGCAACCAAGTGTGAACCTTATATAAACTGTCAATGACAGCAACATTAAACCACAGTCAGATTCCTTGTATGTGTGCACATACCTAGCCAATAACAGTGATTCTGACCACAAACTTGCAGCCTACTTACTTAGACTGTAACAGTACTTGAGTACTTCCCACCACTGCTAATTACTACAGTAATACTTCCACTCACTGACTTAACTTTAAAATAAAACAGAGTAATCCTGTAGTGTACTTGTTTTCTGTATCCACAGGTCTCCCTAACTTACTACAACACCACTACCTCAGTTTTCCAATTTAACATGAATGCATCATGAGTGTTTACGTTCAATGTGAGGAATCTCGCAACCTGATTGGTCCAGCGTGATTCGACGCGGGAAACCCGTGGCACGACTCTCTAAGTGTCACTGTCAAATTTAGTTGAAATTCCTAAAGCCCATCACTTTTCCCTCAAGATATCTGTTATATATAGAAACGGTAAACATGTTTTACTACCCAAATGTCCTCCAACGCCATTCTGGATGTTTTTCCACAATTTGGTGAGTTTTTAAAAAAGCTAGCTCATTAACTTGTGCCAATAAATAGCATTAAGTTACATTAGCTACTACAGATTAGCCTGTAGTGTCAGCTAAGCTTTATTTCTAAATGTTATGAAGTTGTTTTGTTTTTCAGGTTAGCAGCCACCAGAGGTATCAGGGTCACTCGCAGAGAGCTTCTCAAAGTCAATGTCAAGCGAACATGGTAAGGATTTCCACAGAATGATAATGTGACTTTATGTTAGCTGTCTGGTTTTGCTACTAGCAAACGTGATCGATTAAAGTCGGTTAGGCCAGATAAAAAACCTGTTTAATGTTCTTGTTTTATGTTTATAGTTTTTGTATTTGGTTTTTTAAGCATCAGCTACCAATATTTATCACTTAGACAACCTCATATTTCTTGGTAATGCGCTGAGATGTGCATCTTTAGCAGCTTCCTCTCAATCTGTAGGCAGGTTTGTTTGTTGATCATTGATTGACTATGAAGATAATATTTAAACCTAAAAATAAGAAATGTACCCAGTGGGGATTCAGGACAGAATTGAGAGTCAGTGGTCTATTGTGTGGGTCCTTGACATGAAAAAGTTTGGAAACCCTCAAACTAGTAATTAAAGCTGGAGATAAAGAGTTGGTCAAACTTGCATTACCGTCTAAAATAGTATAAAATAGCATCTAAGTGTTATGTTCTCTTTGAATTTAAACATTTTGTATGTTATTTTTAGGCACCCAAAGTCTGACTTGTTTAAGGTGAAATATAATGTAAATGTTTTTTATGTATTTTGTTAAACACACAGCGGGGACATTGTGGACTATGTGACAGCTCAGGTTCCTCCACCGCAGTCCGACCTACCGAAGCCTCGGTTCTCTCTCTACCTGTCGTCCCAGCTGCAGTATGGAGTGGTTGTAGTCTACCACAGGCAGTGTGGCTTCCTGCTTGGTAAGGGGAACGTACAAGATGGAGCAAGAAAGAGTAGAGAGAACAGAAGCAGAAAATTACAATAAGTCGTAACTCTCCTCCAAGCTACATTGTCTACACACAATGTACTGTAACTTCCTGCGAGGTGAGAGAGAAGAAAGAGAGAATTTATAACTTTATGCTATATAAAACCTACATAATGCTGGTTCATTTCCTGTGGCAGCAGTCCCGCAGCAGTCTTAATTTATAGTCTGTCAGAAGTCAGAGTAGAGTGAATTATGTTGGATTAAAACAAGGGAATCATTTTCCAGCTGCTTACTTACAAAGGATCTGTAGGAAATGCAGTCGGTGAGCAGGATTATTTTCAGTTTAATAAGAAAACATTATGGTGTGATGGTCAGCGTTTCAGGGTGAACTCAGGTGAAATATGAAAACGCTGTTTGTTCAACTTATGCAAAACATAGCAGATCAGTTGTCTCTGTCAGTTACAAAATGTAGAAGTCGCAGAAATGCGGTTTTGGTGTAAAGCCAAAACAGTGCTGTCGTCACACGTCTGCAAATCACCCTGGCAAGTCTGATTTAGAGGCCAATATAGAGCTGATGAATGCAATATCATCAAACACAGCTCAACAGTCTCTATTCATCTGGTCTTAAATTACACCCTGACACTGATATTGCATCCGACAGATTCACAATCATGCCGTAGTCATGGTTGATGAAAATGGGGAAATACAATGCAGGATGAGAAGCAGGAGGAGAAGCCAAGAAAGCAATCACTGTCTGTTCTGTTTTCTATAGTGGCTCTTGGATTTAGCAATGGCATTTCATTTCATCTATCAGTAGAATTGAATCCCAAAGCTGCCACATACAATCGAGAGTGCATACTGTTTAAGTTGTATTTCATAAGCACTGCATGGTGGAGTTTGTCCTCTCGGTTTCATATTATGATCTTTTAAAAATGTGATACAAATATCTTCCTGTGGAAGCTTCGATAATGCAATAAATTATCTCTAAAGCTTCATACAGAAGTTAAGACAAATGCACCCTACATGACTTTCCACTATTTTTTGTTCATTAGTCCAGACTAGGATGTGAATTTCAATAAACCCAGAGTTTATGCAAAAGAAATTACCATAAAAAAAAATGCAATTACTTGGATGTCTTGTTCATTGCTTCCTCCTCTTGTTTAGAGAAGACAACAGAGTTGTGTGTTAAAATGTTTAACCCCTTTTCTGTTTTCTAGAGGAGGTTCAACAGACCATTGACCGCCTGCTGCGCTCTAAAAGATGCATACGTATTGACATGGCTGAGTGTGACAGGTCTGCACACACGCACGCACACACACACACACACACAATTTGATCATGCGCAGTGGAAGAGTGTTTTGTATCCTGGGGCACCTAACATTTTAAGCTGAATCGTGCAGCAGTTGGACGTGTTTGGGGAAGTCTGAGCTCAAAAGCATCTGGTGGAATATTTATGAGTGAGATTGTTTGGGGGAATAAAGACTGGAAAGGAGATGATATTGTTTTATTGAGTGAGTGGAGGACAAATGGAGCTACTTTCGTGTGAATGACTTTGTAAATGTTTAATAAGCCATGTTATGGAACAGTGGTAATGTGTGAGCTCTTGTTTCTGCATATGCAGTATATCTTTGCTAATGCTAATCTTATTCCAGTAATATCAGTTTAAATCATTTTATAAATCCATGAAACCAACAGCGTAGATTAAAGTATGCACAGTGTCGCATTAGCTAGTACAGCACTGAATGTGTGTGATGTTTTAATATTTTGAGTAGTAACATTGCTCTCTCTTTACCTGGCAGGCTGGCCTTGGATGTGCCTGACAACCTGTACAATATGGAGGAGGCCGAGGGAGCTCAGGACCCGTTCTTCGGTCTCATGGAATCACACCAACTGCCCAGCCCCTATAAAATACACCAGGTGCGTATACGATACACACACCAGTGCAGCCAAGGGTTGTAACTTAATGTCTGTCTCTGTAGTGTAGCACAACAAAACTCAACAAATGAATGAAATGTGTACACAGTAACCATTCCCAGGTAACCTGCACTGGATATCAAACACTCCCTCTGCCTGGATGGATGTAGTTGTATTATTATAATGATAGTTATTTACCATGACTCGTAATAGTAGTAGATTTAGGCAGCCAAATAAACTATACATTATCTAACATACATGACCCGAGGCACTCAATATTAATAATACATCAAACCTGTACCCAAAATATAATATATTTATAACTCTTAATGTCTCAGACAAACTGCAGTTTCCAGAGGAAATATTCTCACGCTGAGGAACAGTTAATTAATAAGACAAGGCATCTTATGTAAGACTATCTGGGACTTTGGCTCTTCCCTTCTGTAATGCCTTAATGTTTGATGTCCAAAACAGCAGTTAAAATTCCACAATAGTAAGTAGGTTCCTCAGACCACATTCAGCACTGTCTGACCGCAATCCAAATATAGAGCTAACACACACGTGTGGATGTACCCTGTACGTGGCCACATGCAGTAGGTTGATGTGATAAAATATGCTCTTTTCTGGGTTTTCCCACATGGTATGTTTTCTTTTACACACACCTCATAAATTACAAGCTTTTTACCATCACAGTCAAGAACATACAGGTGAATCATTGTTTCATGGCCTTACATACAGGTCACAGTGCAGGTCACTCCCATTCTCACATAGCATACGTGCAATATCCCTCCATACAATCTGTTGGTATCCTCAGATAGAGTAAATCACAGTAGATAACTCATTCTCACTCTCTGCGCTGTAAATCTGGTAGTCTCGGCTGAACTTTGTCCTCCTTGGAATATTTCCCTGTGGAAATACCATGTTACCAGTTAAATCACGAACTGAGCCAACACGTGAGACGACAGCACTGGAGGCAATAATATGAAAATATTTTATTGGGTACTATCATGGAATTTAAACTAAACTAAACTGGACTGTGGCTTTCAGAATCCAAATTAGAAACTGCTGTGTATTTAGATCTATTTTTTATTTTTGTTTCATCACCACTAGTCCGTGTGAAATCAAAGCAAAGCAGTTTCATCCCTTTGGTACACAAAGGCAAATGAAGAAAAAATATTACTTCTGAATGAGTTCCCTAACCTCATGTTTGAACACGTTTTGCTCATGAAAAGGTTGTTTTTCATCAGCTTGAGTTCACGCTCTGGAGTCATCCAGGAAATGAAAATAAATCTGTTTCAGTATTCTGTCTTGTAATGTAATATTTGCAATGTGTATTTCTAGCCAGTGTTGGTGATTGAAGAGGCAGGTTCACAGCACTCCCTGGTGCCCAGTCCCCACACCACACTCGACAAAGAGGGTGAGGCTGATATTTTAACATTTGAAAGACTGGCTGTGTCTCATTTCAGGGGTGCCTTTTTAAGCCAGCATTTCTGGACCAAATGTGATAATGGGTTCAAGAAGCTTTGAAGTACATGGTTCTTTTTTGTATTTATGATTTGGGGAGGGTGTGCAGGTTTAGCATACTGGGATACAGTCCTCTAAAAGCTACACCTTTGTAAACCTGAAATGGACACAGAATTTGTAATAGTGGTTGTGGCGACATTTTGCATGTTTCCAAGATAATCTATCTTCAGAGGTTTTATAAATGGGTCAGTTCATTTGCTTAAATTCCTTAAGTGGATTTTCTTCTAAATTTAAACCTTTGGCACAGAAAGGCTATTTCCACTCCTGTTAGGAAAATTGTGAATAAAAGCTCATCTCAAACCCAACGGCCCCATGCTAAGCCCAGGTCCAGATGTCATTGTCCTGGCTGGTTTTCCCCCACAAACACAGATCAATCTCAGCCAGTCTCACGTCCTTCTTGTGCTACAACCCCACCCGGCTCCTAATCCCTCATACTGTGTTACACCAGGTTTCAGGTCACCTCCAGCTGCCATCACCCTGAGAGAGAAGGAGCTCATCACCACTGCTGAGGTAAACTCTCTGTCAGAATACAGGGACAGGAAAGACCCCAGTCATCATTCTTTGGTACAGCAGGCGTCCTGGTGAATCATTGAGCTGGGATGTAGACCATGTGGCCACAGCAGCTTTAGTTAAGGTCTTTGTCACAGTTCAGCTGCTCGCTTGTTGGTCTTACCTGTAAGTCTTGGCTCCATTCTCTGTGGTGATGAAGTAGCATTAAAGCAGGTACAGACTATATTGTCCTGTGTGTGACAATGATGTTTTCTTTTCTTTTTTCTGGTTTCTTTTTCTGTTCATTTTCTAAATGGTGTGTATCATGCAGTGAAGGTAATGGTGTAGGGAAATACCTGATGCCTAGCTGACTGTCCTGAATTCACCTCTCAATGTCTATGGCGCTTAAAAGAAGACAGAGTTATATCATCTTAGTCATAAAACGCCGCTGTGGCAGCACCTCCACACACTATTAGCCTCCTCATTCTTTTCACTGAGGGGCTAATAATGCTCCTCCTCAAGCCTGCTCAGCTGATGAAGTCAATTTTGGCTTGATAAGAACTGACTTAATTGCATCAGCCTGCACTCAGTTTGTTTACAGAGATACGTGGCTTACATATCTGTTGTCCTCTGCCCCCCACTCATCTGCCCTTTGGGTTTATTTTTGCTTTGCATGCAAACATTTTGTCATTTCTTTATTTGTCCTTCAGTTTTTGTTGTTGGTGCATTTTACTGCTACGTTTTATATCACTTTAGTTACATTATTCATCACTGTGGACACAAAACAGACCAAATCTAGCTTCCGTTTGTTACTTATCCCCATCTCTTTGTTTTTTAATAGCTGTCACTCTGTAATTGTCCCCCTATTTCTGTATCAGTATCATTTTGAGGGAGATGACCTTCCTGAAGCCACAGCCAGAGAGATTGACTTGTTGATGGATCAACCAGACCAGTTCCGTGGAGGTGTGTGCCTCTGCCTTTAACATTTATCTTTGTGTATGATGAGCATTGCATATGTTTCTTTGTGTGTTAGTTGTTTCGTCTGATGTCATACTGTCGGTTTGTACTAAATTCAAGGATCTAGGCAGTGCCTAGAGTCTCAGACCCTCAGTGTGTTCCTCTCTTGTAATGTGTCTGCACCAGTCAACCAGATCAAATTCTTTGTGCCACTGCTGTAATTGAAAAAAAAAAAAACAACTGTTCTCACTCTGAGTGCTTTTGTTGCCAGAAAGAAAAGGTTTATTTTCAGGAGGCTGTTTCATTTCAGGGGAGAACAGAGTGGGAACATCTCGACCCTGCCTTGCTTTCACAGAAACTAAGAAAGAATACCAGACTAACACTAGTGCGAAGACAACATGTCAGTGGCACGTGTTTATTAATCTTTATTTAATCAGGCAGTCTCACGAGAGTAAGATGTCTTTTCTAAGGTTCTCTGGTTGCTCACCTGGTAGAGCTGGTAGAGAGTCCGACCTGTGGCCCTTTGCTGTGTGCCATCCCCTCTCTCTCTCTCTCTTCCTGTTCATCTTGAGTTGTCCGATCTAATAAAGGCAAAAAGCTCCAAAGAATGTATTTATAAAAAGGATCGATTTTCCAACAGAGACCTGAGAACAAGAAACATTCCCAAAAACACCCCACAAGCAGGAACAACACAATAAATAAGGAAATGATAAAAAGCAGTTGGCAGAATCACAAAATACATCACATAATAAAGCTTTAAAATCTCTGGGAGTGCACCACTCGACAAAGGTTTAGTTAGGTAGAGTTTGTTTCCACTTTACCTCCTGCATTAAAACTGCAGCGAGAGAGTAGAAAAGGGAATTTGTCAAGAGGTTTGGTGCGACTAGGACACCGGTTTCTTTAATAATATCATTTGATTGTTAATAAGCTTTACACAGACTGGGGTTTATGTGTTTATTTGTGTCAAAATGATTTCTCTGTGCATTGTGTATGTGTGTGTTAAACAGAAGTGGAGGAGCAGCTCACAGAGGGGAGGACCAGGAAACTTGAAGGAGCCATGTCCTCTATTGACCGGTGAGTCTTGAAACTTTACACTGACAAATGATTGTCACTACACAGCTCAGTGAGCACTTTCAGGGCAATGATATAAACGTCACAGTGATACTACCCTTCTGCATCTGCATGTGTTACAGCCTGTTAACAAACAAGCAAATATTGACAAAAGAACTGTCAAGTCCTTAGTTTCAAGAAAGACTTAAAACATTGACAGCTGACTAAATATTGTATCATCAGTCAGGCAGACAGGATATTTAGCTCAGACCTGTGAGGACAAACCATGTAACATGACAGATAAATATATTTGGTGTGAGTTGAAACATTTTGTGTACAGTAAGCGTGTGTGTGTGTGTGTGTGTGTGTGTGTTATTGTTTCCAGGCTGAAGGAGACGGTGCTAGGAGCAGAGCGGGACAGTGTGTGGCTGCTAGACGAAGAGTCAGGTCTGCCCGTGGAGGTGCCTCTGGCAGCTGTTGCCCTAGAGATGACCCCACTGCAGGTTTCCATGCCAACTACACCCTCAGGGGCATCTGGGAAAAAGGGGGACCGAGCAACAGAAAGTCCCTATGAAGAGGTGAGACATGGCTGACGCTGCATAGTGACTTGTTTGTTCAGTAGTAGCTTGTATTGTGTATGTAAATGAGAGATTTACAGTGTGTGTGTCTGTGTGTGAACAAGTAATTTAGAGCCACTAAACATGTTTTGGAGATGCCCTGTCATTACCAGAGGCATACACTTTCTCTAACTTTAGTTAATTCATTATTGAAATGGAAAACACAAACAATAAAGTTTGGTCTAAAACAAACCTGCTGTCTAAATTCTGACATGTAGTAAACACAGAGATGACAGAGAAAAAGCATTTTCTGTTGTGACAGTTGTCATCAACTTTAATTTACATTCCACCAAGTGACTCATGAGCAGCTTGTTTCGTTTTGGAAACATGTAATGGAAAGCAAATGTGGGTGTGTCAGCACATAGATTCATCATTTCCACTTTGTGTGCTGGAGTGTGGAGTCCTTTTTATAGATCCAGTACTGTAAACATTAAAGCTGTGTGTTTCTCACTCTGCCATCAGGGGATTGTCCTTCCTCTTAGGAAGACCCGTGGAGGTCGCAGGCGTCAACTGGTCTTTGCAGACCCTGAGGTCCAGATATCTGACAAAGCAATGGGGGAACAGATCCGAAACCCGCTGGCTGAGACACTGGACCTGGTACAGGAACACACCGAGATACAATTTAAATTGATCCACGGTCTCAACATGCAATATGTACATTGTTAAAATATTCCAGTCATTTAAATGGAGGTGGAGTGGAGTTATTTGGGCTTTTTCAGCGATCTCGCACACATGCAGCATGTTAAAAACTGCCCTTCCTCTCCCACCACACGATGACTTGAACACACACACCACGCTAAAAGCTGTGTATACGGTATGCACACACTTAAATACACATTGTTTCAGCTGTAACGCTGACCAATTGAATTTTCAGTCGTTGCCGTTCTGTAACCAAAGTGTCTATTCACCAGGGTGTGGGTTAATTAAACTGCAGCTCTCCGGTTCTCTTCCTGCTGTCTAAGCCCACTGGGAGAGTGCTCACTGGTTTTATTTCCTTCCTTCTTTCTTTGCTTCTTCCCCCATTCTTTCCTTAGTTCTTTAATTTCCTTTGAGACACTATCACTGGCTTTTACTCCTCCTCCCCTCTCTCTCTCTCTCTCTCTCTCTCTCTCCTATAAAAACAAAAACCCTATTTGAAACTGTACCATCAAGCTAATATTTTGTTCTTCCTCTCAGTCCCAGGTGTTGCTGGACTTGCCCTCCTTGACTAAGCGTGCCACTCCTGCTCAGCTCTTCAGCGCCCCCTGTGGATGTCAGTGCCAAGTGCTACACTTTCACCCTGGCCCCATTGACTGATCATTCTTTAATTTTAATAATGTTAGTTTTTGTATATGGCCCACAGTCCAAATAGTTTGGCCACCACTTCCCTAGAGTATGAAGCATCATAAACTTTGTGTGTGTTGTAAAGCCTCTGAAACATTTTATCAGTATTGATTGCAGCACTTTACAGCAGCCTGTGAGTTGCACTAGCTTTCCACAAACTCCTAACAGCAGCTCTGGTGAGGAAAATACAAATTACTGACCAAAACGTGCCCTTTAACCCCTCCACAGGCCTCCTCCATGCTGACCTCCAGTCACTATGGAAACAGCGGGCCTCGCTCACTGTCCTGTCTGGACATGGGGAGAAACCGAAAGGGGAGGAGGAGGAAGAAGAGGAGGAGGAGGCGGCGAGAGGGGAGTCAGAGCAGGACAGAGAGATACTGAGGGCAGAGAGGAAGAGGAGGCACTCAAGCATGAGAGAGGTGCGTCTGTGTGAAGTACATTTTGACTCTTTTACGTCTTGTTTTTTTACAGCTTTCCTCCTGCTTCCATATATGGATCTAAAGTCCAGTAGTATCTGTGGGGGAAAGGATTGATACTCTTACCAGTCTCCACTTTCAGGTCGTGTTAAAAAGTATTTGTGAAAGTGTGGTTCTAATAATAAAGGTTATCCATTAGCCTGCTAGCCTGCAGTCATAGCCTGCCGACCCACTGTTCAGTTCACTGGTGAGACAAATTAGATTATAAACCTCATTTCTATTTCATGAAACTGCCTCTCTCTCAGATATCCAGTGAGTCAGGACTGCAACCCGCAGAGGGCTCATGTAAGAATCCCTCCTCTCTATCACACACATTACATTCAGGGCATGTTGTGGCAGCACAATAAACAGTCTTGTTCCTTTATGTTTGTGTGTGTCAACAGCTGCATTGGACATTATCCTGGACATGTCCAAAGAGGACAAATCTGTGAGCGATGTGATCACTCCTGTAAGCAGATGGTGAGTCTTAGACGGATAGACAGACGGACAGCTAGAAGGATAAAGAAACAGATCACTGTGTTTATGTGTGTGTGTGTGTAGGTCTCCACAAGAGGAGGCCCAGCTATCAATGGAGCCAATAGCAGAGGAGACCATTGAGATGCCCGAGGCTCAGACTGACGCAGTAAGCAAGGACATGCTGAGGTACTTAATACAATATACACACACACACCCTCAGACACACACTGACCATGACTTTTCTCATCATGACTCCAAGAAATTCATGAAATGGCCCTTTAGAGATGCACCGCTTCATGTAAGACATCACGTGAACAAGCTTGACCACTGCCCCTGTGGTTATTTATGCTTTAGATATGGATGGTAAAAGATCATCTATGGGTCAAAGGTTTGAGTTTTAGATTGAAGAATATGTTTGAAACCTTTCTGGGAGATTTTTGTCCTTTCTGACTCTGAGTTTGATTGTTTTCTCCGTGTAACGCACCGCTACTTCCTTGAGTTGAGTGTGGATGCTCCACATTCCTGCTTTGTTGCCAGAATCATCCCGATGAGTGTTTTGTGGCATGGCCCGTCACCCTCCACTGAGTGAATAAAGGTGGACTGTGGCCAGTGTTAGTGGTTTCACTGATGCTCCTCCTGTTTAATCAGAACATGTTCAGTGTCAGTTCTATCTAGTACTGTATATATATATGTGAGGTGGTAAAACACATTCTAATGTCAACTCAAACTGTTCCTGAGACGCTGTGTGAATGAAAATGCAGACACAACATTTACATAAAGGGTTTGTTGAGGTTTATGGTGATTTTATTTAAGTTTGGAAACAGTCGTTTCCTCCAGCGTCACAGGTTGATCTACACACCAAGCTGTCTGACATCTGCTGTGAAATTCAAAATGCAGAGCAACCAGGAGGCCTGAGGGACGAACCTGAGCCACAAACACATTTCCCTATTCTCTCCCCTACCAAGACTACACACTGAAGTGTACTTTTCATAGATCTGTTGTATTACTATTGAAACAGTTAAACATTGGAAGCTTAATTCCAAATGTGTCCATATCAGTCCTCCAGGTTCACACTGCTTCTTCTTTTCCAGCTGGATCTCCTCCAGCCTGCAGAGGTTCGGAGAAGCCAGCTTCGGCTCTCTGGTGCCCCCAGAGGCCGACCGCACCGCTGTAGCTCACACACTCTACAAACTGCTGGGTGAGGAAATCTGCTGCTCTCTAAAACATAATGTTTGTGTTCCTCATTGACTAGCATTGATAACCAGGAACAGCGATAGACTCAAATGTTTGCTCTGTCCTGTGAACACACACAGAATACAGTGAGTCATTCACTGACCCCCACAGTAACACAGAGTGAAACATTGTGATGTATTAATCAGGGCTGTTTCTCTTCCTCAGAGCTGCTGTCTGCTGGACGTGTGAGTGTGCGACAGACTGAACCCTACAGTGTCATCAGCATAACCCCTGCAGCGCTCAGGATGACAGCCTGAACACACACACACACACTT